GGTTGCCATTTCTAGAGATGGGCCACAGTTCAGCAGAACAACAATATTTCTAGACTAGATCTTAGCAACTTGGGGCTCTCAAACTCTTTTGCAACTTGAAGCCCTTTTCAATTACATTTTTAGTGGTTCAGCAACACAACTGCCATATTAATACTGGTGTTTGCAACTACTTTGAAAGAGAAAATCCATTGAAAAATTAAAAAGAAGTACCCAACCTTTGCCCCCCCCAAAGTCCTAGCCTTGGTGATATGCAACCCCAAACAGCTGACATCATTGCCCATTCACTGTACCTTGTCTAGAGAATTCTGGGAGTTGACGTGCACAGATCTTAAGGTTGCTAAATTTAAAAAAACATTGATATCTAGAGTAAGAAGGAAGGCCTTGATGGGGATATGTATGCTCCATTGCCTAGACCAGAGGTCCCCAACCTTTTGGGCACCAGGGACTGGTTCCATGGAGAGAAGTTTTTCCGCGGACCGAAGAGTGCGTGGTTTTGTGTGCTGCCTGCATCTCGTGGATGGGGCTTTGCTTGTTTGTGCGGACTGGTTGCTAACATGCCATGGACCAGTACTGGACCACAGACTGGGGGTTGGGGACCCCTGGCCTAGATCAGAGCTTTTCAACCAGTGGTACGGGTACCACCTGTGGTACATTGGCACCTGGCAGGTGGTACGCAACCATCCCTAGAAAAGTAGCAAGGGAGGGGAATGAGCTGAACCGGTGGCAGCATCGCGCAAGCCTGAGCGAGAGATGGCTGGAGCTGCAGGGCTGCTCAGCGGAAGCGCCAGGATCAGTGCTTCTTCAGGGCTATCAGGGCTCAGTGGAAGCACCACGATCAGCGCCGGGCTCCAGCTGGAGCGCGGTGCTGATCCTGACGCTTCTGCTGAGCCCAGAAGAAGTGCCGATCAGCTGGAATGTTGCAGCATCTCCAGGGTCTTGTGATTTACATTCAGATGCTTGGCAACTGATTCATATTTATGATGGTCACAGTGTCCCAGGGTCATGTGAAGTGACCAAAACCTGCTGCAACCACCCAGCAGACGGGGGGGAATAAAAACCAAACACCCCCCCATCTATCTAGACCCATACCAGTCGGGTTTCAGGCCGGGGCACAGCACGGAAACGGCATTGGTCGCGTTGGTCAATGATCTCTGGAGGGCCCGGGACAGAGGGTACTCCTCTGTCCTTGTTCTTTTGGACCTCTCAGCGGCTTTTGATACCGTAGACCACGGTATCATGCTGCGGCGTCTCGGTGAGTTGGGAGTCGGAG